TGCCCTTTAGGAGAAAGGAAGGGTGCACGGTGTCTGCAGGCTGGAGCTCGCTCAGGGGGGCACAAGATGGAGGCACCCCTGGCTGGCCCACCTGCCTGCCGCAGGCAGATGAAGCCGGGCGCCCCTGCCTCTTGGAAAAGCAACTTGTTACTGGTAACATGCATTTCTCTGTAGAAGGGATCATTTTGTTTCCAGTTGAATGGGTCTGGATTTTAAATTCTGGATATATTTTTTCTTTTTTCCAGACGAAAGGGGCGGCAGCACTCCACGTGAAATACTGCTAGTGAATTATTAAAACTTTATTATATACGTAAACACTAAAGACTTCTTTTGATTGCAGATGCTGAATATTTATGATAATGCATAATACCAGTGTAGTTTCTCCAATAATAGGATTCAGATCTCTCCAGTAACGCTCATTCATTTAATCTCTCTGTCACTGCTGGGGGTATGAATACGCATCTTAGTTTTACAGAAAATGAAAACCAGAAATTTCTGCTTGTCCAAGCTTGTGCAACAGGTTTTGTGATTTTTGAGCTGCTTTTGAGCTGTTCTGTGTCTGAAATCTTTCCAGAATTGAACACAAAATAGTTGGAAAAGGTTATTTGAACACCCTGATCTAACGTTTGCAAATGATTCAATACATACGTTAAAACCATCTTCTGGAAGAGAACTGTTGAGGACCCCAATGGGCAATGTTGTCGGCAAACCTAGCACGCTTGGTTGTAAGTTCAGGTGCTGGTGGGTTTGGGTGGCTGCGTCATCCCTGCGTCACCTCAAAGCCACGTCAGGGCATCCGTGTACTTTGATTTCCCAGAACCAGAGTAATGATTTATTCTTGCATTCTCCATTTGAATGCTGTCTATTCATTTTCATGACCGTTTGGAATGAAGAGATAAAAGCACAAAAGATACCAGAAACAATTTTTCACAGAACTGTTTAATCATAAAATCGAGAAACCCACAGCAGAGTCTTAGAAGAATCTTTAGTTAAATATAGATGTCGAAGGTTTCTTTCTGCTTTTCAAATAACTCTGAAGTTTCCAGGATTTCATTATGAGTTTGGTGAGTGAGCCTTTTTTCTTTTTCATTCTTTACTGTTTTTAATAATTGATTTTTAATTAAGAGGCGTATTTCACTTTCAGGTCTAGATTTATCACGCATTCAGCATCTCACTGCTCTGTTAACTTGCACAGAGCATTATGACTTATTTGTGCATCATGTATTATTTGTCCCATTATGTTCAACAGTGCAAAGGTGAAAATTATTAAGAAAATTACCTGCATTTGGAGGGAGTGAGGAAAAAACATTTGATATTTTGAGAAAAAATGACCCCTTTTAAAAATGTATCATGAAGTTTTGGCTGTTGAGAAATCGAAATGCCCTGTTTTGCATGGCAATTTTTTTCTTTACATTCTGTTACAGCTGTGTCAAGGAATGAAAGTATGTGATTTCATGCACTTTGTTAAAGCAAAGTGAGCAAGAGCTGACATTTCTCCTCCCCCTTATGGTGTTGGGTAGTCTGTGGGGTTTTGGGGGTTTTGTGCCCCACTGTCCTCACCTTGTTTTCAGTTATTTTCCTTGGGGTTCATTTTTCCTTTGCTTCGTTTGCTGACTGTAATCAAGTTCTTGTTGCGTGCTGATTTCTGGATTGGCTTGCTTTCTTTGATCTTAAGTTGAGGGTATATTTAAAATAGCAAACTAGGGATTTTTTTTTTTTCCCTCATAAGATTTTGTTGCCTCTGCTACAGTTGGGGAAGAAGACATCATCGTTTAGTGTGCGCTGTTATGAACATAATTTTTGTCAGCTCTGTACTTGAAAATGGTAATTTTGTCTTTAAAAGCTCTGAGAGGAGACAGGTTATATTCGCAGTCTTTTGGAAACATCTATCTGCTTTTCTGTTTCTTTCCGTCTGTCTGTCTGTCTCTTTTTTGGCCAGTGTAACTATGTCTTTTCTAGGGCTTTCGCTGGCATGGAAAAAATTAATTCCTATATAGCCATAAGTACGTTAGCATATCTTAAATGTAGACCAGGCCTACCTCTCCAGTCTGCCCAGATATGGTTTGTAGGCATGTCGTTTTAAGCAACTGTTATGGCATGGGGAACTTGTATTGTGTTCATGATCACAGCAGGGGACTGGGTTTCTCTGTACAGTATCGGGTAGACTCCATTTTGAAAGTGGGATTTGCTTGCCTTCTTTGTCGCCTTTACCTCTGTGTTAGACTATGATAGCGGCAAAAGAAGTGTTTTCTCCTGCTAGAAAGAAATTACCACAGACCGACTCTTCTCCTGGAAAATGGGTTTAGCGGGAGGGAAATGAGCTATTCAGTGGCTGGAGTTTTTTGCTGAGCCTGAGCACAAAATCACATGACAGAGGAGACGGACTTTGTGCGAGGGTCAGTATGCCACTTCAAAATACGCGCAGCCACGCTCGCCTACCTGCAGACATCTGGTGCCACATCAGCCCAGTGGGCTCTCCGAGATACAGGCATGGATATGGCAGACAGGGCACAGGGTTGGGTGGCATCTGCACCTTTCCAGAATGACAACTGAGTGGCAGATATGTCACTTTGTCTGGGGCAGCTGAAATACCGCTAGGTACCAGTGTTTGAGCATCTGGGTTGTACCACATGGTTCCAAATTGATGGAGGAGGTGTTTGTC